CAGGCGCGGCGAGGAATACTATTGATCGGACATGCTACTACTGCTGCCAATATACATACATGCATTGTACATACGTATGTATATCTATAGTCCGCAGAGAAGGTGACAGAAGTACAGGGAATTTTCCAACAGCAATCGTGCATCACCACTGGATGGAGCCGGGCGGGAAGGGAGGAAGGGGGGACTCGAAGGGGGTGTGTGTGGCCCCAAGATGTGCCTGGCTGCGAGGCAGAGGCAGAGCTAGAGCACATCTGGAAGCGCAGAGTCCGATATGACCTTATTCACCCATGAAGCTGCTCCTACGACGTATTCAACCTCGTCATCTTCACCGGGCAGCGCATCGAGATGGTTCTGCTTCCCAGTTTTCGTGCGGATGGTGCTACCGGCCTCGAGCACTTTCTACGGTGCCCGACGTCGACGTCGACGGCTACCTTGTCCAATGAATCCAATCCCATGTCCTTGGTCGTCTAGTCACTGTGCAACGAAACCCTCCCGGGGCGATTAATAATTACCAGACTCGCCATGACGGCAGAGTCACCAGAGGCCCATTGTCAAGTTGCTGTTGGCCGGGAACAGCCCACCCAGGGCCTCCAAGTTTGCGCAGTCCAAACCAGGCTTCCCGGGCGTCATGATTGAAAATGTCTGGTGTGTGTCTTTACTCTGCACCCGCTCCCCCCGTACTCCGTATTTGTTGTAGAAATAGCAGCGCCTTGTCGGACATTAGGCAAGCCTCCTCAGTCCGCTCCAGGCGTAAGCCACGCGCACAGTGCCTGGCACGGCCCGGCCGGCGATGCCCATGTGCGCGGTCCATGCTGACGCTGAAGCTTGTGTATATCCTCTTCCCGCGTGTCTCGTTGGTTCCCGCGATAAATAGGCGTGCGCCTTCTTTGTCCAATGTGCGCTCTTTGATGACTCGTCGGTGTCTCCCACTGTCTCTCTGACTGGCTGCAGAGGAAACGACATTGACCGGTGCCGTAGCCTGCTGACTGTACTCCGTACCTTTGAGCTGGCTGAGACGTCGGGTGAAATATGCTCGGCCGGCACCACAGAGCCAATCGAGGGAGAGCGCCGATTCGACGTTGACGAGAAACACGAGCTGGACGAGCTGAGTGGCAGTCGGCTCAACTGACTCAGCTCTTTGCCTCTGGCAGAGGTTCCGTGGTTTGAGCAAAAAGGGCGCTGGGTGAGAAGTGTCTTGGGTTGGGAACAGGCTGAGGGGAGGGGTTCGGGGACTCTGTTCTGTATGTACAAGTTACAACACAGCCTGGTACAATAATACTCGGCAACAAAATAATAAATAAAAAATACCGAGTACTAATAACATGGCATTCTTGGGGAAAGAGTATGTACACGGGCAGTGCGCAGCAACAATTATACATACCACTCCCGTGCATACCATGGCAGTTACGACATGGACCACGCCCAGTCAGTCGCATGGCAATCTCGTACCCTGTGCAGACACAATCATCCGAAGCCAACTGGTCTGGTCCTTTTGCGAACCGTTCAACGTTGGTTGCACGGCGGCCGAGCACAGACAGCACGATATCATGTCCTTTGGCCCAAGGAGATTGGTCCCCCCGGCCCCTGCACCATTTTGTGTTCCATCTACGATGACGCTCACGAACGGAGTAGCAGTCTGCCTGTGAAATCGTGAAATGCGCCTGGCGGTTCCCAAATTCAAAAGAGTCATGGCACACGAGCAACGAACGGGGGCCCGGGACGTGGGGACCAGACGCCAGCCACAATTCAAAGCCAAACTTGGCGCCGGGCACTAGGGAGCACTAACTTTTGCCCCCCTGCGCTAATTGTGATGAGCCTGGAATATTAGATGGAAACATTGAGCATTCAACGATGTGGAAGAAGCTGCCGCCAGATGGCTGCTGCACTACGACTGACGACCCGAGGCGGCGCCCCCCCCCCCCCCCCCCCCCAACCCGGGATGCTCAAACGCGGAACCTGCCCTTGGACGTTGGACGTTGGCTGCATGTGGCATGGCATATGTATTCCTGTCAACTCTCAACTTGGATCCAACGGGCATGATGCCAAGCGCTCTTTTGACTCGTTTCTGCTCCATCACGACAGCAAGCATTGCCATTGTTAATTATCCAGGTCCTCAATCATGATTTTCTTGATGCATGTACGGAGCATGGACTCTACTGATTTTATTTTTTTTATTTTGTGCCCAGTGTGTGTGTGTGTGTGCGTGTGTGTGTTCATTTCTTTCATGCCCCTTGCTGTTCCGTCTGGCATTGATCAACCTGGTCTTTCTGCCCTGCCCTGCCCTGACTCTACCCTGGCAGGGTCTGGTCGTTAAGCGAAATTGACAGGAACCAGGCTATTTCGTCCAGCCTTCCCAGCCTTGTGCTAGACACAGTTCAGTTGACCAATGTTTTTTTTTTTTTTTTGGCGACTGTTTGGCAGAGAAGAAAATTTTTCTCTCCTGCCTCCAGGATTCTTGGACGGCAAGCGAGGCTCAGCCGCCGGAATGATACTCCGCACAGGTCATGGCCTGGATGTGTCCTTTTCCATGGCCCAACATTGGAAGTGTGTCAAGTATTATTAGTCAGTGCTGCGTACGGAGCACACCTTGTGCGCTCTCCCTTCAAGGTGCCGCCGTCTACGCAGATCCCGCGCGATCCTGCCATGTCCGTGTGTGGAGCAACCTTGAAGGAGTATGCAGCATCTGAGAGAGGCCGAGAGACCTGAGTGACTGCATTTCACGGACAACGCGGCCTGGTGGCTGCTGCCGACGGAGTGTCCCGTGCATGAGATATCCAATATGCACGCTTGGCATGCCATGTGTTGGTGAACAATTACGAGCAAGCGCACCAGACACGATACAATCGTGAACTAATATCGCTGTGCTCCGTACAATACATTTCTCTTCTGAAGATGCCTGGCCACGCTTTCCCCGGCATCCAGAGCACACGGTCGGTAGTTATTACTCTCCATCATTTATGAGGCTGATGTCTCGTTTGTCCTTAAATTCATCGCAACCCAACCCCTTGGAATGTCTATCGTGCCCCTCCCTTTCCCCCTGGCTAGGCGCTTTCGACAGCTGAGACTCTTGATTGTTTGTTTGTTTGCTTGTGGACACTGATGACAAGCCCTTCCTCGGTTGCCTGAGCGTCAACATTTTCTTTGCAAAGCAAGGTATGATGATGGTGATGAGGCTCCCGGTCTCGTGCCCAAAGGTGTTCATCACTTCTTGCAAAGACACAGCCTGTTCCATAACACACACACTTACTACGTACGTACATGTCGTCTTCTGGCGTCGAGGCGGTTTCCAAGCAACACCGGTTCCAGCCCGTATCGACCCTCGTAAAAGAAGTGACTGGCCTCTTGTATTGTAATGGCCCGGCCCTCGGTCATGATACTGGAATACCATCGTTGCTGTACACGCCCTTTTATTCCGCCATGTACATACAAGGCAAAACACAAATGCTACACCCTAACGGCGGATCATGGCAAGCATGGCCATCCACGGCCCCAGGTTTCCGCTCGGCTCTGGCGTTTTCAACCCGTGTCAAGTGGAACCCGGCTTGCTCTTCTTATCCAGAACAAAACAAAGGCCCGCCATGACGGGATGCTGGGCCACAACATTGAACATCCCGTCCCCCGTCCGGTGCGCTGGGGTTCGATCGCACACTGTACGGAGACAAGGTCCAGCTGGTGGATATGTATCTTGCCGATGATGGAGCTGTTGGTTGCAACTTGCAAGTATTATTAGCCAAAGGCAACCAAGAGCACCGCGTGTCTTTCGTCTTCAACTATTATATGTACTCCGTATGCCCGTGGGCAAAAGAGCAACCACTTTTCCACACCCCTTTCAGACCGTTCGGCCAAAAGACTGTCGTCCCTTTTTCAAGAGCCATTATCGAGTGACGATAAAGACCACACACTGGGATCATCAGCCCATGTCCGAATCGTCAAACCCCCCATCGACTTCCAGAGCGGCCGCGCCATACAACTACACACACCCTCCGTTGTTTTATTAGTATTATTAGTCTTGCTAGGCCCCCGTGGCCGGTGTTCAGTGTCTGGCGCCTGGTGTCCAAGTCAGGCCTGTGCCCTCATCCTTCATTACCCTGACTGAGCCCCTGTTAGGCAAGGAAAGACCAGGGGAAAGAAAAAAAAATTTTCTCGTTTTCATTTCTAGGCTTTCTTTGGCAATTGCTGCCACTGCCACTGGCGACAAAAGGTAACCTTCTCTCATACAAAAATCCATTCGAGGCCTCGTGATGTGACTCATGTGTTTGTTGTTTTCTCTGGTCGTATGTATGGTCTCCCAACGAGGCCTCTGGGTCTCCTGTATTGATGTCCAAAGCGGATTGCCATCGAATCAGGCATCGCGCGCTCCTGGCCGGTACTGTGACTGATTGGCACGAGGCGCAGACACGTCGTTGCAGTGGGAAGACCTACTCCCCGCCAGATCATCACCCCTGTTCTGTAGCGGCCAACCATGATGGATGATTTTCTGCGCCGTTGACTTTAACAGCAAAGCCTGCAGCTTCGACCCTAAAATAGGGGCCACTGCCTCCTACAATGGTGCCAGGCCAGTGCTGACCGACAATTGGGGATGTAGTACTCCGTATTGTTTTGTTTTTTTGGCTTGTCCTGATCTTCCACCAAGAAAAAAACAAAAAAAGAAACCCAAACAAACCACGCGCTTGTTGCCAATGAGGGCCCGGCGGTCGAGATGAGTGATTGCCAAAGAGCCCTCCCTCCATATGGGCCCAGCGATGTGGAATCTCGTGGAAGAGTCGCAAGATATCTGCTGGGAGAGGCAGCCGGCCAAGAGCCTTCTTGGGCACCTTAGACACATCTGTCTTACACGATCCCCGAGTCTTTCCAACCGAGGCGGACAATCATGATGATAAGGCGTGGATCCAAACCAGTAACAATTTGTCACACTGGTGGGGGGTGATGGATGGCATGCGGGAGATGCCTTTTGATATGTACGCCTTCCGTAATACCGCGAATTGGTCAGTCTGCGGGCTTTATCTCAGTATGACGATTTTGCAACGTACCATTTGTGCGGCCTGCATGACGTCGTCGCGGGTGAGGCCTTCAGTCGTTGATTCATGTGCCGTGTTGGCATAGAAAGGCACATCAGCCATACATGCTGCGTACACACGTCGCCGGTCCCGAAGATCTGGATCGGGCAATGAAAAACAGGCTGGTCGTGTTTGCGCGCTCTTGCGTCCAAGGCAACGGCCAACGATGCCCCAACCAACCCATTCTGTTTGACGTCCGTGTTTCCCTGCGTAGATAGTGAGCCGAGGGGCCTTGGCATCGTCTCTCGTCTTTCCATCTCTCGTGTCCCTTGACAAAATCGGGGAGTCGTCTGGAGGTCGCGAGGCCTCGAGCTGCATGTCGTCGCGCCCGAGGTGCATGATGATACATATCCCAAGCCACGCCCCTGGGTTCCAGCTACTGCCACTCTCTCGATGCCTTATTACTGCAGCAATGCCCAGTGGCTCCCCTCTGGCTCGCCATTACGTCGCAGACCGATAATAGGACTCGGTAAATCGTCACACAATGCGCAGGCTGCGTTCCAAGGGCTTGCTATCGACAGCCTCATTCGAATAACCCTGACGCCATTTTTTTCCTGGCGAAATTGGGTGCCGAGTAGCGATAATGTGCAGGCCGAGAATGGGAGTTGGCTTGGGAGGGTTTGTCCGACCACTTGAGCAAACTGATGTCAACTGGGAGTTGCAGGCCGCTGTTGCCCAATGTGCCCAATCAGACCCATCACATTTCCATCTCTACTAGGCGGCGACAAAAAAGGAAATTGCCCAAGTACTTATCTATGGAACCGTTCTTTCCCTCTTTTCCTTCTAGCACGGAATCCATGCTGATCCTGTACTAATTGCTTATTCCCCTCCAGTTTGTCTTGCAGCGTCTTCTGCCCCAATAGCTCCGCATAACTACTAGTACCTGGGCATGTAGTACCCAGGCCGATACTCTGGTACTACTATGTATGTCCTTTGCTACTCCGTGTGTCGGTGGGCATTCAGATATGTAGGGCTGATGATGATACTGATACGTGCCAATTGGGTGTGTAAGCCCTGCTGCCCCTGGATGTCCATGTCGCCTCGTCTGCCTCTCCATGTATGCATCCATGACGGCCGATCCGCTAGTTGCATGCTGCCGCAATCCGCAGGCTGTCTGTCAACTGCTTGCCGCCTATTTGCTCAGGTGCCCTTCTCCCGTGTGCCCTCCTCATGTCATGTACTCTGATGTGCTCTCATGCACGTTTGCCGATTGGGGGGCTGGGCCACGCTTCTCCCGTCAAGCCACGTGGCGGTGCGGCTACGTAATAGTCACGTGATGGGAACCAAGCCCCTGGAACGGAATTCGATTGGGGAAGGCGCCACATCCGCTGACCCGCAAGGCCTTCTCCACTCTCCAACTCTCCACTCTCCACTCGCCGTTGACGGCTAAGCATCCTCCCGTCTTTCCGACTTACACATGACATTAGTGTCGTGTAAACGATTGCCGTCGGCGCGGCTTGGGTGACAAGTTCGCCACAGACGCTTCTGTTCATGTGATCTCTGCCGTATCGATTTGCTAGGCGCTACTACTTGTCAACTGATAACCCGTCTTTGGTCGATCCTCGTCCAACTGGTCAACTTTGGCCGGCGCTCCGCGTCTTGGCCACCAAAATGTGTCATGACCATTTTCATGCACCTTGTCCGCGTCGCAAACCGCCTTCATCAACGCGCTCACATGCCATTACCGCAAAGCCTTCTGTGTCACCGCGTCCCGAGTTCTCCTCCACCTGTTCTTTCTGAGTGGTGAAAATTTGAAGCACGGTCGTTGTGGCGTTCTGCCTCTATGCCCTTGTTGAGCACCCATGCCATGGGTGAGTCACCGTGGGACCTGGACAATCAAATCAGTTCGTGTTGTTTCACATATTTGATGCTTCAATATTCCCCTATTACGGAGGTGCATGCCAAGTGGTGCGCGTTGCCTAGGGATGAGTTATGGACGCAAGGCTGCCTGGTCATTCTATCTAGTTGTAGGCAGACACTTGCTGACGGCATATCATCATTTTGACGAATGGTTTCCAAGTTTCGCCTCAAATTTCAGCCGTGACTGTTGGTTTGCTTGTTCTTGGGGACGTGGTTGGCTACATGTGCCATTGTGGGCGTCGATGCCACGTCGTCCGGGCACATCGTAGCCAGTAACTGAATGGCTTGCGTCCTGGGTTGGTATATTTTGTTGCCTGGCGTCGTTATGCTTGTATTTTGAAGCGGCTTGTGTCACTTTCGGTTTTTCGGAGAAAGCAGTCTCGGGGGTTGTTTATACAGACACGCCTCATGATGGATGAGGAATGTTCGCAGGTTCGCCAAATTATCATTTTTGAGAAGGGTGGTTTATTCGCACTGGGTTGGTCTTGGTAGCCGTGCTCCTTTCAATTGTACATAAGGGGCCGATTGTTCATGAGGTTTGTGGTACAAATCTCGATGCAGTACCATGAAGCCATGGCGCTTTATGCGATCCCAGATGCAACAATGTAGCGTTGTCATTACCTGTCATTCCATTTATTAGAGGCACGTGGCATAAGTCGTCAGAGTCTCATTGCTGAAATCTCGATGAAAGTAGGACAGGAGCATCACTTTGTCTCGTCATGGTCAAAGGAGCACTCAATCCCGGTAATATTTTCGGTCTCCATAAGGACTCTATGCCTCTTTAAATCTGTAATGTGGCTGTATTTCCCACCATCTCTCTCGCCGACTTACACGCCCTTCTCATAAGGGAAATATGCTGCTGCCTCTGCATTCGCTAAAAAGCCCATCACCCAGCAGTGTCAAGTTGAACATCTGTCATCAAATTGAGCCAGATTTCTCCTCTAATAGGGCCCGACCATACATTGCCCTGTATAGGAAAAATATGACGAAAGTCCTAGCCCGTACTCATGTACTAGATACTTTTTTCCTGGTTTGGGACTTTGCCACATCACGAGGACCTGATTGTGAATGCTACAAGTTTACGAAGCCGATCCTTTTTTTTTTTTTTTGAACCTCGTTAATGGTGGCAGTCACAGCTGTTGCTACTCCGTACACTCCAACAATATGACTCTTGCCAACTCCTGTTTAATTTGTCACTGGTCTCTTTTGCTCCAACACAGTCCTTTACGACAACCTTCTTACGAAGAGGCTGGGCAATTTACTCAAGACAGAAAGAAATAAGCACAAGGGACTCCGTAAACTGTTAGTCCATAGGTAGAATATACTGATCAGCTTTCAAGCTTGTCCGCGTACTGGGAAAAACGGGGCGACGTATACGAGCCTGCCGAGATTTCCATGAGATAGAGTGCTTCTACATAATTAGAAAGGGTTGTGTGGCAGTTCTGCTGACGAGTGTAAAGCAGCGACCAAGCTCACGTCGAAGTCCTACGAAGCGAACAGACCACACGAGAATCTCGTACACATTTCTTCACCATTTTGACTTTGCCCCACGCAAATAACCTTATCAGATCTTGGGTGGAGAATTCTACGTACCTTAATCCACGTAGCTTAAAGGGTTCCATCTCAATCCATTGTTTTCCACCAAAGAATCTCTTTGTCTGCGGGAAATGAGCTAGTTGGCGATGATGATGGGCAGAGGCTTGACGATGCCAAGGCAATGGCAACTTTAGCAATTTCTTTCAAAACATTTTACTGCAAGAGTACGAGAGCCCAAGGTAGAATTTGTCTCATGATTTGTTGGCCAAGCCCAATCAATCATGATGAGGTCGTAATCTAGGCAGCTCGGGGAGCCCATACAGCCCGCCACCCGAAATAAACTTGGCTTGAGGATGCATAATGATGCCAACACTGCTGGGAGAGGCGATGACTGAATACATACGTAGACACTGTGACGCAAGCAAACTCTATAATGGCCCTAGTATCGTGTCCAAATCGGAGGAAGTACATCACGATCTATGACTGACGTAAACGCCAGTAGTATAGAGATCAAACTTTACGCCAAAGCCAGAATCAAGCCACTCTTCTATCCCATTCCATGGAGAATTCAGGACAGCCGGCCACTTCAGGTGCAGAAACCTCACATTTCGCAGGAGATATTTGGCAAGGAATGGGAATATGCCAGGATAGTCGAAAATGGTACTGCTGATCATTTCACGGATTCATATTCCAACGGCAGTGGCCTTCAAGCATCGTTTCTGAAAATTAATTAGTTTTCTCACCATCATCACTCACTTCTCAGGGCACGCATATATGGTACAAGTGAAGTGGTGGTCTACGCAAACGCACCACCTTGCAAGACATGTCAAATACGTCAGGAGAATGTGCCACCAAACCAAGTATATTCACAAGGGTATCCAAAATCCGAGTTGTAGTTTCCAAAGCAAACCCAAAAGTCAAACTTTCCAGCTCAGAATGGTGTTTCTGCCCAACTCCCAACTCCCAACTCCCAGGCCCAGGCTCATCAGCCTTTCGCAAGTGCCATGTGCAACAAAACCCAAAGCCCATTCCGCCACATAATACCATGATCCGGGAAAAAGAATAAACCTCGAGATCATGCCAAGCTTGCTGGGTGGCAGCGGAGACTGCGGATCCGGAGGCGCTTGAAAGCCTTCTTGAAGGAGCAAACTCGGTGGTTGCTGATGCATCTCAAGCACTGGACAGTGTTGAGCCCCTTGCGGCACGGCTCCTTTGCCACGATGCATTGTTCGCCGCGGATGGCGCAGCATTTGCATCGTTTGTTGGAGGGGACTGCCACGCCCTGAGGGCCTTGGAGGCAGTGGATTCTTCGGTGGTCTGCCCTGTTGTTGTAGGTGCACGACTTGAGGCACAGTAGGCACCGGTTGTCTTTGTTGAACATTTCGTCTTCGTCGTCGCTGTCGTCGTCTCCTGACGCTCCTTCGTCTGAGGGCTCTTCGTCTGAGGCCTCCTGGAGTGGGATATCTTGGACGGGAATGTCTCCGAACTCTTGTTTGATGGGAGTCCCTTCTCTGACATCTTGGAGTGAGATATCTTGTAGTGGGATATCTTCCAGGAGAGTGTCCTCGAACTCTTGTTTGATGGGAGTCCCTTCTCTGAGAGGAGCGTCGTAGAGGAAAATCTCTTCATTGGTGGTAATTTCTTCCTTGATGGGAGTCTCTTCTTTGATGGGGGTCTCTCTGGTTGAGACCTGGTAGCTTGAATCTTCCCAGTCCTCTGGAGTCTCAATAGAGGCAAGTATTGTTGATGAGGTGATGCCGCCGAAAGAATAAAGAGGGCCAGCCAAGGGTGCTTCGGCCATGACTGCGTAATGAGAGTCGGCCATGACTGCGTAAGGAGAGTCGGCCATGACTTCGTAAGGAGAGTCGGCCATGACTTCGTAAGGAGAGTCGGCCATGACTTCGTAAGGAGAGTCGGCCATGACTTCGTAAGGAGAGTCGGCCATGACTTCGTAAGGAGAGTCGGCCATGACTTCGTAAGGAGAGTCGGCCATGACTTCGTAAGGAGAGTCGGCCATGACTTCGTAAGGAGAGTCGGCCATGACTTCGTAAGGAGAGTCGGCCATGACTTCGTAAGGAGAGTCGGCCATGACTTCGTAAGGAGAGTCGGCCATGACTTCGTAAGGAGAGTCGGCCATGACTTCGTAAGGAGAGTCGGCCATGACTTCGTAAGGAGAGTCGGCCATGACTTCGTAAGGAGAGTCGGCCATGACTTCGTAAGGAGAGTCGGCCATGACTTCGTAAGGAGAGTCGGCCATGACTTCGTAAGGAGAGTCGGCCATGACTTCGTAAGGAGAGTCGGCCATGACTTCGTAAGGAGAGTCGGCCATGACTTCGTAAGGAGAGTCGGCCATGACTTCGTAAGGAGAGTCGGCCATGACTTCGTAAGGAGAGTCGGCCATGACTTCGTAAGGAGAGTCGGCCATGACTTCGTAAGGAGAGTCGGCCATGACTTCGTAAGGAGAGTCGGCCATGACTTCGTAAGGAGAGTCGGCCATGACTTCGTAAGGAGAGTCGGCCATGACTTCGTAAGGAGAGTCGGCCATGACTTCGTAAGGAGAGTCGGCCATGACTTCGTAAGGAGAGTCGGCCATGGTAATTTCATCGAGTTGCTGGTGATCCAATTCGATGGACTCCATTTTTGTTTGTTTTTTGTGTTTGAAAGTTGTTTAGTGTATTTGATGAGAGCTCAGGTGGTTGGTTTTATGGTCTGATACAGACAGATGTTTGGTGTGTTTGATGAGAGCTCAGTTGGTTGTTTTTTATGGTCTGGTACAGACAGATGTTTGATGTATTTGGTGAGGGTTCTTAAACCAGTTGTATGTTTTTGTGGTCTGATGCAGACAGATGTTTGGTGTATTTGATGAGAGCTCAGTTGGTTGTTTTTGTGGTCTGATATAGAAAGATGTTTGATGATGTATTTGATGAGAGCTCTCAAGCCAGTTTGTTGTTTTTTTGATCTGATGCAGAAAGATGTTTGGTGTATTTAATAAGAGCGCTCAAACTAGTTGTTTGTTTTGGTAGTCTGATGCAGAAAGAGGTTTGATGTATTTAATAAGAGCTCTCAAACCAGTTGGTTGTTGTTGTGGTCTGATGCAGAAAGATGCTCATGTATGTAATAAGAGCTCTCAAAGCAGTTGGTTGTTTTTGTGGTCCGACGCAGAAGGATGCTGAACTCTCAAACCAGTTGTTTGTTTGTGTGGTCTGATGCAAGCTGGTCTGGAGTATGAGACACAAGTAGAAGAGGTGGTAAGCCCAAGAAGGGAATAAAAGACGAATTTTTTTGAACAGTGCTTGTGGATTTGGAAGCAGAGTAATGTGAGATGAAGGCGAGAAGCGATGAATAGGAAACAGAAAGACAGAACCTTTCCTTGGGGCCAGGGGCCTCTACATATGGCATTGCAAATGACAGCCAGCTACGAGAAGCCAAGAAAGTTAACTTGGACATGTATGATGGTATAGAAATAAACTACCTCCGTCCCTGGAGGCTTGACTATAGCGCGGAACTAGAATTTGAGTGCCGCAGAAGGAGAGCATTCTAGAATCGAGAGAGTCTTGATGATAGCACGATCAAGGTAGACACGTAGTTCATCTTTGATGGAACTTGGTCATCGAATGGCCAGTCTGCGACTTGGATCACATTTCGTATTCAGTACGCTCAGCTGGTAGCTGGCCAAGTACCAAGATCACATTGAGTATGTTGTATTTGCTATAGAAAGCGCACCCCTTGATCCTATCTGTTCGTGACTCGCCTAGTAGCGCCTGTAGACTCATCACCAAAAAGTATTTGCTCTGGAAGCAGATTTAAGTGCTACTTCCATTGTTTCCATGGTCCGCGAGGTTATCCTGTGGCGGGGGAATACGCCTTTTCATGCAGAGGTATCATGGACTACATCGAGTACAATGTACTCGACTAGGTCGATATGCATATAAGAAAGTTTAATTGATACGTCATGACTTGAGAAACTAACTGACGGTATTAACGTTTTGCCGATCATTTTCAACGGCACTAGCTTTAGACCATGGCTTCCTATTTTTAGAAAAAAAATTAATAAATTTGTTCCTGGCCCTGAACTCAGGCTGCTATTCATCGTAATGACAATGATATTAGATCATAAAACACCTTCCATTGTAAAATGATTTAATGTCACCGCCTTATGCAAGCTTTACGGCATCCTTTGCCTTGCTATGCACAGCAACACATCGGCTGAAATAACGTGATTCCATATCCGTCTTCTCGTCCAAGCTTGGGTGCTGAAGCAAGGGAAATGCACTCGACCATGTCTTGTATGCCGCTCAATGGCGTCATCTTGATTTAGACTTCCAGTTAATCCACTAATTCAAGCTTCACCCATACTATCCAACATCAAGTTACCATGGGTTTTCGTGCGTAAATGCTCCTAAAAGGAAAATAGCTGTGAAAAGGTGGTATGCCATTCTCAACCCGATTCACATCCTTCCGTACATCGATTAAAAACATTTGAATCTGTAAGGGTGTCCACTTTAAACCATCTCGAAATGGTCGACGAGTAAGACCTTCCAATCCAGAATTTACTATGTCTCGTAGAAGATGCCCACACTCTTGAAGACGTAACAGTTTAGCCCAAGGCCCAAGGGGGCATTTCAAGTCCTGGTAGTGGAGCTCCTGGAAGCCGGCTTCAAGAAGCTCCCTTTCGACATACTGTATGCCGTACAGGTCCGATCCAAGAGCCTCTAGTCCAGCAGCCAAGTAGTTCAGAAAGTCTCGCCATGCATAGGGACCATCGCAAGAATTGTCGTCGCAAGCAGCTGCGTACTTGAATTCCTGCACCTCAACATATCCACCTGGTTTGAGGTGACTGTGGACATAGAGTTAGCCATGCAAGCTTTACGCAACAGCTTGTAGCATAACAATAGCATAGCTGGGTGTTGAAAGTACCTGTAAATTCGCCTCCACATCTCTCTTCGATCCTTGATAGAATGTATCAAGTGTCGAACATGAATGTAGTCCAGCTCATTCTCCCCATAGGTCCACCCTGCCTCGTGCTCAATATCGTCAACCATGAATGATACATTTTGGGGCACCCAATCAGGTTGTATTGGTGACAAGTCCATGCCGTCAAAAGTTGAGTTTGGATACAGGTCCGCCACTGGAAAAGGATGGTCAGTTAAGGAACTATATGGTTGCAACTACATGAATTTAGAATGACAACTTACTTTCTACGCACCATGCGCCAGTTCCCGTGCCTGACGATATTAGCAGGCGTGGATGATGGGGTGTCAGAGGATTGGAGCGTTGTTTCACTCACCCAGATCGAGAACATACGCGCCTCTCTGAAGAAGCTCGTGTATCGGGGCGAAAAAGTATATTCCCCCACACAAGTGCAACGTCACTACGTGCTTCAGATTGTCTCGGTATTGTTCATTCTCATCATTTGGGAAGGCGTACTGCCCTGCGTGATATGCGTGGTATCGTAGGCCCCCATCAACGATATGTTGTCGGACGCTTGAGGTCAAACTGCGGGTATCATCATCAATTTCTTGTCCATCCACATACTCTCCATTTTCTATGCAACGAATGATGGCGGCTTCGTTTGACGTGGCGACGGAGATGGAGGTCCCCCTCGATGAAATCGATGCCGTATCTGGCGTAAATGTGAAGGCCGTGTTTCCAAGCATTTTGCGCGAGTTTCGAATGTATTCTTTTGGCCATACACCAACAAGGTAGTTGAATCCGGAGCTGCTCACGGTGTCGCAGATCTCTTCGTCAAGCGAGACAGGCGATGGGCTTGTTATAAGCAATATGCCTGACCACGTACCCGCTTCTCGAAGGATAGGCTAGATGGTTCTCCTCGCTGTGGAACAAGGACTTGTGTTGGACAAACCCTCTGCCATGGACTCGGTTTCGAGAGGTAGTGCAGCGTGCCGCCTTCTATTCCAGAGGGGTATAAATGGTCATCCAGTGCCCTGTGCTTTGGGTTGACGGATCCGGTATTGGTCAAAGCACAATAGCCTGGTATTTAAATGTGTCTCTCAAATTCCGGCTACACAAAGCTCGGCGCTCGTTAGGGATAGGGAGTATTGGAAGCGAGATGTGGATGTTCAGTTTCTGGAGACTCAATCCGAATGTCTGACGTTTGATGAAGAAAAACGAGCAGCGCCTGGATCGCAAGGCTAAATACCGCACGGCGACGTGTCTAGCTGTGAGCTTCGGGGGTTAACCAAGGTCTGGTTTGTTCGACTCTGCTCTGCTTGTGCTCTGCTGTCGTTTGTCTTGTTGCAATCGATTGGTCCCACTTGCCACTGGTCCCCGAGATGGGGTAAATTAGTGCCGGACGGGTGTTCCAAAGTCCAACCGACGACAGTGTGAGAGAGCAGGAGTGCAGGATTGCGAAGTGTGAGGAAGTATGAACCTTGAAAGCTATGATGAAGCCGAAGGCTGTGACGATGGCTGCTGATAGGCGGCGCCTCAAGAACCAGACTGCTGCTGCTGCCCGAGCCAATATTCAATCTGCCAGTCAACATGCACACGTGGTGTGAGGCGAAGACGCTCGGTGTGTTCGGTTGTTGCGACGTGCTGTAGGAAGTCACGCTTGCTCAACCCTTAAAGGCAGGTGCGACCTGGTTCTCGTCAACTGATCGAGGCCGGTTCTTGGCCCTCACGCACCAGACAATCGTGCTGCGGGAATCAAGCCAGAAGACAAGCCAGCGACCTGGATTCCCTCAACTCCTCAATCAGCTCACTGAGCTACCAGACGTCTTGCTACCCGCGCGGGTCGGGGCCTAGGCATGAACCACCAAGTCCGGACAACAGCGGCGCATGCTAATGATGGAAAGCCAGGAAACCCGAAGCCACGTCGCTGCCAGACGGCCAGGACGTTCAGGACTCCGTACGCAAAAAGAGGCGAGTTGTGTGATGCATCATGACAGTCGGCCCAAACTGCTGGAACTCGCTCAAGAAAGCTGCACTTCCAGTCCACATTCGCTCGCCTTCTGCCTACTAGCAAACGGGTGTGGACGCCCCGACGGACCAGGACGCCAGCCCTGCCACACATCCAAGGCCGTTCAGGTTACAGAGACCGCCGTACCCCGAAGCTGGGAAGGTTGGCGCTCAGAACCCCAGGTCAAGGCGCCAGAGATGATACGCCAACCGTGCCGGCTACCATTAAACACACTGGGCGTCATGAGGCTGGATATAATAGACCATACAGGATAGACATTCGCAGCCCACCCTGAACGAGGTTATACATGGCTTGATGGCTTACTCCCCGTGCCACTACGCCATTATTCGTTCATCAAATGACAAAGGCTGGACGAGGGAGCAATGTGCTCACGAAAACATGCGCTAGCCCGCCCCGGTAAACGTGGATCTTGTGTTTGTTGGGTCAGGCGTGTTCCCTGTCATGCATTGACCCGTTGCGGTATTCCTTGCCTACCGTTGACCGCGAATGGTAATGGTATATGGCGGAGTCAACCAGATCAGTACGCAACTCATGAGTTAGAGTCGTTGCACTGTCTCCTACCACAGAGGGGAGGCGGACCGGCAATCAATTCCATGATCACGCCGCTTTGTGCGTATCATATTTACCCAATGTCGCAGTCCTATTTTGTATTTGTACAAAACGCTGTGATAGCATGAGATTTCGCGCTCCGATACAAT